GCCCTTTGCCATCGGCCCTTGGTGCTCACAGTCCCCCTGTGGTACTTGCTGGACCGGACTGGGACTGACTGGACCTTCCGCTGACTGACTGTGGAGTCACCGCTATCCTACCGACGTTGTACTGCTGTTGCAGTGCGGTTTAGTCCACCACTTGCCTCACCACTTGACCACTTGCCCACTTGCCTACCTTCTAGAAGGTCTACAGCTAAGCTTCCGGAACTCACTAAGACTCCTACGCTATAGACCTACAGATCGAACCCCTGCTGCGTATGGACCTACGACAGGCCTACCAACTGCCTACGAATACACAGGTCACTGGTTCAATTCTCGGGGTCTACACAGATACTGTACATGGGTAGGGTGAGGTCTAGGGATCAAACCCTGGGTATTGCATCCGCCACTGCTAAAACGTGAAAACCGTTTCACACTACGCTGGTGCTTAGAAATTGACCCAGGCCTCTCTTTTCCCTGTTGTCGTTGGTGAAGTTCAAGAGGTTGTTGCCCAGTGTTGGGCAGAACTGGATCCAGAATTCTTTGGACAGGCCATCAATTCCTGGTGCTTTGTCATTTCCCATCTGGGATAAGGCTGCGTGAAGTTCCCCTACGGTGATTGGTTTGTCCAAGTCCTCCGTTTGTTCTTGGGTAATCGTGTAATCGTTCTCTCTCAGTAGGTCATCATGTGCTGACGGGCATTGATATTTGCTGTTGGAGAGGGGGAGGGGGTTCTGGACTCGTAGAGGTTGCCATAAAAGGACCTGGCTATTCTTACCATGCCTGCACCGGCTGACTTTGTCGTCCCCTGGTCTGCTGGGTCCTTCGGCCCCTCGATTGTGTTGTTCCTTGTGTTGGCCCAACTTGGCCTTGATATTGGAGAAAAAGAATTTGGACATGGATTCATCCAGGGTGTAGTCATTCACTTGGGCGCGTATCTGTAGGCCTCTGAGTTCCCATCTTCTCCATTCATTTAGTTTGTCCTTGGTAAATTGGAGTAGGTCATGGTAGGAGTTGGAGGGATCAGATGCTAGGTTGGTTTCTGCAATGTCGAGTACGATTTGTAGTTCTTCCTTCCTGTGTTTGCGATCTGCTGCTATGCTTCTAGACTCTGCTGAGACCGTCTGAGACAGGTCCATATAGCTGTCTATGAACCATTTGTGCCTGTCCTGGCGTTTCTTCTCATCTTGCTGTATGAACCAGCTGCAGTTTGGTTTATGATATTCACATTTTGCTCATTTTCCTTGCACATGGAATCGTCAAACACAAATCTGACATTCTCGTTTGCTGGCATCCTTGCTGCTCATTTTAAACATTGAAGTTGATTGAACACCGTTTACTTTTTTTTTTTGTCTTTTTTTGTTTTCTTAACCGCTAGGGTACCAGAGTGGCCCGGGACCTCTTGCCCGGTCAGGCCAAAAAAAAAACAAAAAAAAAAACAAAACAAAAAAAAAGAATTAAACACATTTTTTATTTTTATCTTTATTTTAAATTTCGTAAAGAATTTCGATGTGACCCTTAGGCAAAAGTTGTTCAATTTATTTTTCTGCATAACATACTTTTTTTTCCGGAATTTTTTGATTTTTTTTTTTTTTTTTTTTTTTTTTTTTGCTGGGACCTTCGCTGGTCCTTGCACGGGCGGGCCGCCCGGGAAAACAGGGTGACCTGGGCAGCCCGGCTGGTACCCTAGCTTAACCGCCAATTCACCTGAGTCTAAGTTGAGCGCTTACGGTATACGCGGTACGGTACGAGCTTTTCGATTCGGGACTGGACCGGTAGCAAAGGCGAAAGAAGGCCACTATGAAAAGTCTCGAGCTGGAGGCTCGCACACCTCGTAGCTTTGTCGTCTTAGGCTCATCTGAACGATAAGTGTTTTAAGGAGGTTTTGATGAACCGGGGCTCCATACCCATTCCTTGGAGTGTCAGTCCGGCTCCTTGTTCATCGGCAAGTCAATAGAAATACAAAGATAGACACACCACACACTTACCTGGACTTACCTGTCGCTGATGTGAATGAAGCTGCTGCTGGTCTTCACGAGGTTGAGGACGGACTGCGCCAACCTCCATAATAGCCAGGACTGGAAGGAGGTTGAGCGCCCTGCTGGAATCTGCACAGAGGCTACATCAGTGATCGTCAGAGCGAGAGCATGCATTGATGAGGTGGTGTTGGAGGGAGAGATGCCCGAAGGAGAAGTGGAGAGCAACATACTTGTATCATTGATTAGTGATGTAACTCTTCTCTCCCTCCTCAATGTAACTCTTCTCTCCCTCCTCTCTGTCTTTTTCTCTCCCTTGTCTATCTCTCCCTTGCCTCTCTTATATATATGATGGTTCGCTGTTCTGACGTGTGCAATCAATCGAGATTTGCACTTGCAATCATCTCCGGAGGCTACATATTGAGCGCTGGTTTAAGATTTGTGTGCCAGCACGGGTTTAAGATTTGTGTGACAGTGCTGGTTTAAGATTTGTGTGACAGTGCTGGATTAAGATTTGTGTGACACTGTCCTTTGGGACATCCGTTAAAATTGGAACGATACAGAGAAAGTAGATTAGTATGGCCCCCGCGCTTTCAAGGATGACACGCATAAATCGAGAAATGGTCCAAATAAAAAAAAAAAAAGAAAAAGATTTGTGTGACAGCGCTGGTTTAAGATTTGTGTGACATTGCTGTGGAGCTTTCTGAACGAGATCGGGTTTATTGCGACTTCACCATGAACATACTTGCAAGTAACTTATCGCTTCGCCTCTCGTGTCCTGTGGTGGTGGTGTCCGTCAGCATCGTCAAGTCTAACGACTTTAAACTGCATTGAATGCCTGTTTGCGCTCGGATGATTTCGTGTTACGGGCATGGGAAAGGCAGTGTCCTGCTTTGCTGGTTTATGCTGTGAGGCCTTATCTTGCCGAATCCTGCACAAACTGGCCGCTTGCTAGTCGTTTTTTTCCCCCTCTTGGCTGCATGGAATGCCTGTTTTTTGCTTTTAAAAGGGTTGCGGGGTGTTGGGGATATGATCCAGGGAGGAAGTCCGGTCTGTTTGCGCTCGTGTGATTTCTTGTTATGGGCGGGCAATGGGCATGTGACATGTAGCCTCCTGCTTTCCCGGCGGTGTTTGCGATGTGCGGCCTTATCTTGCCGAATACTGCAAAGATTTGCAGCTTGCTAGCCGTTTTTTTCCTCTTGTCCCCCAAGGTGTTAAGCCATTTAACCTGTGCATTGAATGCCTGTTTGCACTTGCGTGAATGATTTCTTGTTATGGCCATGTGAAATGCAGTTTCCTGATTTGGTGGTTCGCGATGATGTGGTTTTGATGCCTTCCTTATGTTGCTTTGCTTGGTCGCTTTTCAGTTTTCTTCTTGCGTGCCCCATCGCATCGGCCCTTTCTAACCTGCATTTCATCCCTGTTTGCGCTCGCATGATGTCTTGTTACGGTGGACGTGAAATGTATGTAGGTTCCTGCTCTGCTGGTTCGCGATGTGAAAGAAGACTTCATCCCTGGCCTCATCTTGCGCATGGAACGGTTAGTGAAGCTCGACATCACCCTCAGAACTCATTGCGGGATCGAGACCTGCCTCCAGCATTCCTACCAGTCGTTAACCTGTCTGTGTATTCGCAAGTTTCACAAAATCGGCGACAAAGTCAATCACAGTTTTGTGGAGCAGGTCCTTTCGTTGACAATGACGGTTTGTCAAAACTTGCGGAAACTCTCTCTTCTCTTCTGTGGGCTCTCGTTTGCCCCTCAGGAGGTCGATTGGGGCAAACTTGGCGAACTGGGTCCCGTGCTAGCTCTGCGAGAACTGGAAATGTCGCATGTGTGCTTTTCGCGAGGAAGTTTGCTCGAAGGGCTGCTGCACATTTTCCCACGTCTGGAGTTGCTTGATCTCCGCGAACTGAGGGGTCTAGAGGACATGGCGTATGTGGACGGACGTTGCTTACAGCGCCTTGCTGTACAGTGCCACTTCAACGATGGCGCGACAATCAACATCAACGCGCCAGCATTGAAAGAGCTGCAACTGGTCGATGTAGGAGGTTTCGCGATCGTGGGCGGGGAGGGCCCTGAGTCGCTCCTGATCGACGGCTTCCTCAATCCGGGTTGGCTGGACCCCGTCATGTTTCTGAGGCTGACGCGGTTGTCCGTCAGCATAACGGACTACTTCAATCAGTTCGGCAAGACCTCTTTCGTGAACCTGTTGGAGGAGCTGCGCCGCTTCCTCGACGCGCATAGGCACAACCTGGAGGTCGTGTCGCTTAACTTGGATGCGCGATTCCAAATGCGCGCCGTGTCGAAGGCCGTAACGAACGTCTTCTCCCTCGAGTTTCCCAACTTGAAGATCCTTCGCCTCAGGCGATGGGTTAATGACCTGATGGAAGAGCTGCACTTGCGCAATCTGCTCTGTTGCCCCTTCAGTGCTCCGAAGCTGCAGCAGTTGCATCTGGAGGTAGGCCAAAGTATGTCCATCCTTACGATCTCGCTCATCCGGTTCTTCTTAAAGTCCTCCCCATCACTTAGAACTGTTGTCATAAACTGGGAGTCCGACGACCATCTCAAGTCAGACCCGCTAGTAACCTCCGAATCGCAGGGGCTGCAAGAATTGCGCGCATCATTTCCGAAAGCGGCATTCGTATTCAACAGTAGATTGTTCAAAACATATGAAAGAGACTGCTGGTGTGTGGAATGGCCAGGCCTCGAGTGGGGTGATGAGATGGGAGAAAGTGGGTGAAAAGCGACAAGTAGAAAGAGTGTCGCGACACCCAATTTTCTGTGCGTGCATGCTGTGAAGGGGGTGTGTGGGGGTGGGTATAGAAAAGCCCGGATCAGGAAAGTGGCTGTGATGTACTGTGGGTGTGTGTATATATTAGCAGGGACACAGCTGTGGGTGGATGGGTGGGTTGTTGCTGCATGATTCTAATTGCCCATCAAGCCAGTGGGAAGAATTGTGTGCTTGTATGGAGCGAAGGGGAACGGGGGAGGAAATTGGGGGGTGGGGGGTGCAGACTGGGAGGCCCGAGCGCGGGCGTTGTCGAGAAACGTTAAGAGTACTAGATTCATATGTTGCTGTACATCGCTGTGGTTCTATTTCTCATTGATTAAGAATGGTTGGCTAGTATGGCTACCCATTCTCTTCACAAGAAAAGTCACATGTCACGCTCACTTCTCTTCTTAGTTTTATCCATTGCAGGTGGAAGTTCTTGGACATGGCTTTGTGTGTGTGTTTGTGTGGTGTAAGGCTCCCGTGACCGCGCCGCAGCATGTTGCGTCAAGAGGTAGGTGTGCTTATAAACAACACATTGAAAAGAGCCTGCAGCCTGGTGTGCCCATAAAACGAATACACATAAAGCGAAGGTTTGAAAGGTCGTGAAGCAAAAGGAACCAGAACCAAACCAAACGGCAGGAAGAGAGAAAAGAAAAAAATCAAGGCAGAAAAGAAATGGCGAGGCAAAGATACTAATGATTAATAGGTGGTGTCAGTTTCGGCGAATGTTTCACTGAAACTGTCATAATTCCCTGAATTATTATTATTATTATTTTTTTTTTTTGTGTGTGTGAGAGTGATACGTATGTGCTTTAGGGTCTGTCTGTATTCAGTTCTGACGTATTGGAATTTTGGACCAGTAACGAAAAAGTAGGCAAAAAGACCGAATTCGGGAAAAAAATTGGCGAACTCCGAAAGCTACTCCGAATACGGTTTTATAGTGCTTTTGAGTTCTTTTTTGTCGTTTTTTTTTTTTTTTTGCCTGTTTGTTTTTATGATGTTTGTATTATGAGACTGCATTGTTGGTTCGTGATGCGGCAAAAAACCCCGAATTTTGGCCCTTCCATTAACCATCTCTTGAGACAACAAGGCATTGAACGGCAGAAAACATTGGGTGGAGGGCACGGGGGAAGTGGGTAGGCAGACAAATAGCACAAACAGCACAAACAGCACACACAGCACAAACAGCACAAACAGCACAAACAGCACAAACAGCACAAACAGCACAAACAGCACAGGCTGGAGGGTATGGGGGAAGCGGGTGGTTAGACAAGCAGCACATGGTGAGGCAGACGGCACAAGGCAGCAAAGCACATAGGCTGGAGGGCGTGGGGGAGGCGGTGGGCAGGGAAACAGAGCAGAAAGCAGCAAAAAGCACGTAGGGTGGAAGGCATCGTGGAGGCGGGTGGGCAGGCAAACAACACAGGGCAGCAAGGAGAACGGCAGCGAGCCTGACAGCAACAAAGCAAGAGCAGCAATCACAAAGAGTACAAGTACTAAAAAACTTTTTTTTTTTTTTTTAATTATTTATTTATAAATAAACAGGTCCTTATGGTCCCGGGTCCATTTCCATTCTGGGGAGCATCAGTCCGGTTCCTATTCCACCGGCAAGTCAGAAAACAAAATTACATCTTGAACACCCGCACGCTTCCTTCCGTCTGGCCGAAGGAACCCTGATCAGCATTGATTACTCCAGCATCATGGAGGATTGACTGTCAGCTTGCCCTGCTTCTCCCTTTCCTCTCAGGTCTACTGTAATAACCTGTTCTCCCTTTCCTCTCAGGTCTACTGTAATAACCTGTCAGATAAACATGGATGGCAAGAAAGGCCTGGAAGCTACAAACACTGCCACTTCAGACTCTGCCCATGTGCTTCATGACATTCCTACCATTCTGATCCCTGTTTGCCTTGCTTGTCTAAACCCTGGCCCCTGATCCCTCAGCTGTAGTTATTCGCCAGAAGCTCTTTGGAGCACCCTCGCCCTTCCTTCCGTCTGGACAGCATTGATGTTCATACATGTACTCATGTTCGTATGACCGAGCTATGTGGCGCTGAGGTCCTGAGGCTGTGGGATTTGACTGTCCTGTGCTCTCTGAAGTGGACAGGAGTTATGCCAGTCTTTCCACCTGAGGAGATGACCTTGAATACACGCCACCTTTCCATTGACCAGTCATACTTTCGTGAATTTTGCCAGAATCTCATGCTGCTTCTCCTGATTTTCCTGAGCTTGAATCCTGACTTTTTTCCATTGAGAGACAAGTACTAAAAAACTTAAAAAAAGACAGACTGGAAAAAATCATACTGATGATAGGACCAGGCGGCATACAGGCAAGGCTAGGGGGCAAGGGTCAGTTAGGAGTCAGTGCTCCTGTGGTTCTAGGTCTCAGGTTGGCTCGGGCAGTCGACTCAAGCGAAGCCGGGTAACCCTCACAGCAATTCATTCTAAAATTCTAAATTGATGTATCAATGGGACGTTGGACCCGTTTTCGAGCAGGTGCTGCTCCCCACCAATAGATAGGAACCAACTGCGGTGGCGCTCCTCGACCACGGTGGCGCTCTTACCGCGCAGGATGTTTTGAAAAAAAAAAAAAAAAAAAAAAAAAAAACCCTGATGATAGACTGTTTCATCGAAGATGCACCGACTCATCAGGAGGCTGAACCCTCGACAAATCTGCGGAATCTCCGTATTGATGGTTTGGTTCATGAACCCTTTGGCCCTTGTTAAGGGCACACTGTCCACAAGCGGAACACAGCAGCAGGCAACGACTCAGCGAAGCACTGGGCAACGCTGCCGGAGCGACCCAGCTGCAAAATGCCAAAAACGACTGCAAGGAACAAGAGGGCAAGTGGACAAGCAGGACAACAGCGCAACGGAGCATAATGCAACACCCACACAGCAGCCAAACTACTCGGCACACAAGGAAAGGACGCGGAAGGCACGGCACACGAATGGGCAGCAAGGCAACAGCGAAACACAAGGCAACACCAACACCACAGCCGCACCGCACAGTGAACACAGCCACTGAAAACGAACGACACACCAAGCAAGCGGGACGGGCAGCAAGGCAGCGGTAGAGCACAGACGAGGCAATCTACACGTCTAACATGGAGCAAAGCGGCACATCATCTACTCACATCACGGGTGAACCCCGCAGACTGTTGGTTCCCACCACCCACTGAGCCAGGGAGTCACTCCGACGGACATCTGTAATCATCCGCAGACCATATGCACCACACAGATATCATGGAAAGAGCGGCTCCCCTAAGAGTCCTGCAGGCACTCCAAGCAATGGAACGCCTACTATTTAGCACTTCTTGAGGGTGCTCACTCAACCACACAGAAAGTAAGAAAAAATAACACGAACGACGAACAGCATGAGAAAGACAGACATACATGAAACAGATTGTGTGTGTTCTGATTTTTCACCGCAACAGCTCCTATTGCACCCAGATGAGTAGATCCAAAATCAAAGCAGTTTTAGGCCTTTAAATTCTTTAATCCTATTGCAGACAACGAACGCCCTTGAGTTGAGACAATCCAACAATGAAACAGTTTCACCTCTATAGCAAGCAACATGGAGTAGAATAGAAGCATTTAATTCCCTTTCCTTAATTGTGTCCACTTCTGCTTTCTTTGGGGTACCCCTTTCATTTGTTCTCGCCTCTCCCCTTTTACTGTGCCTCTCATGTACAAGGCTCGCCACGTCGATTGTGGCTGAGCACAAGCTGCCCACAACCCTGTGTGCCGCAAAAGCCCACTTGCACACTATGAAAGGAGGCTAAGGCGGAGGTATATTCCTGTTCATATTTCCTCATATTTCCTCATATTTCCTCAGATCTCCTCAGATCTCCTCAGATCTCCTCAGATCTCCTCAGATCTCCTCAGATCTCCAGCCTATATTTTGTCTGTTGAACTCTGTTCTCTTAATGATGCTCATCTGTCTGCATTTACAAGTAGTACACTAGAAGAGGGAGGAACAAGTAGTACACTAGAAGAGGGAGGAAGGAAATGGGAGGTGGGGACTTCTGAGAGGTTCTAAACAGTCACCGCTGGAGCAGACCGCTCTAGAATGTCACGTAAGGCCAGTCAGCGCTCGGGTTGCATAAAATTTTGAACCGAGGAGCAGTCGTTACCTACGGTAAGTAGCCAACTGTACGGAGCGGACGAGACCGGTTCGGGTGCGGACTGTGGAAGCACCGCATCCAACTCTTGAGACCAGTTCGGGTGCGGACTGTGGAAGCACCGCATTCCAATTCTTGCAGTCACGATTGCTGCATCGAATGGAACGGTGTAGACAGATGTCACAGGCTACGTGGCTCCTACATGCTAGGAACACAAAGGCATGCCGACTGCAATTGTGGAGGCATTGCTGTTCCAGCCCTTGCCTACAAATCGGGCATGACATGTCAGGGTGCCGTACATGAGTGCAGTATTCGCTGTCATCGTACGTATGAAGTTATGCCTTCATAATGCGCATGGCACAAGGTATGCGAACCACATGCTAGTTGATTTTCCGGTGGATCATCACAAAGCGGCATTGAGCACGTTTCTTGGGTTTCCTCAGTATTTATTCCCTCTCTATTGGCAGCGACGACGATCGGGATCGATCCAAAGCAAGGGTGTTTAGCTGCTGCAGGATTTGGTCTGCAACAGCTCGCCCTGGTGGTAGTAACCTATCAGTACATCGCTCTGTAGGTGGTTCATAGGGTGGTCTATTTTCCTCCTCAGGCTGCTGCATCTACCGTTCGTCTGGCAAGGAGTAAGGAAATCCGTCTGTGGTTGCAGTATGTGTACATGTGTATGCCCAACACCGCATGTGGGACATGCCAGGAGAGGATTTGGTGGATGATGGCACTGGGGATAGTCCACACTGTAGAGACACATACTTTCTATGACAGCTTCCTGGAAACATTGAAGACACATGGCATGTTGCTGACATGTCAAAAGTAATGAAGGCTGATGTGCGCAGCTATTTAAGCATGGCAAATCAAGGCCACAACGGCATGCCG